TAATCCCCTCTTGGGAAAAATTAGAAGAAAAATCAAAAAGCCTATTTGTTAGTTTTCTTTTTTTTTTTAAATTAACAAATTGGAAAAAATAACCTTTCCTTAAATTATTAACAATTTAATTTTTTTAGTCCATCGTTTTACCTATTGAAATTAATTAGGAGGATATTGCCTTTCTTTGTGGTGAAAAAATCAAAATCAAATTGGATTGTTTTGAAAAACAAATTCCACGCTTTTGAAGCAAACTCCGCTTTTCCCCTTGGAGTTTTTTGTGGAATTTGGTGGTGCCCATAATTTTAAAAATGGAATTATGGAAAAAAAAAATGAATAAATGGAATTTATGAAAAATTTAATGGACATTTAGAATTTGGATGTATTGAAAAATAAAGCAAATATTAAAGAAAAAGGGAAGAGAAATTAGGATTATAATTGGTTTGTGAAAAAAAATAATCAACTCAATCCATATTTATATACATATTTTTCATTTTATGTAGTTTCCCCTAAATTGGTGGGGTCCCCCTTAATAAACAAGAAAAGAAAAAACAAATTATATTTTTTGGATAATTAGTAATTTATAATAAATGAATTAATTTATTTACCCAAAACTAAAAAAATTAAAAAATGTCATTAGACACCTTCAAAACTACCTTGACTTAGCCGTTTTTGAAAACCCTTGAAAAAAAATTGTGTAAAAAATAAAAAAAGGTTTCAAACGGCTAATGAAGTTGATGATGTTTTTTTTTTATAATGATGATGTTTTTTTTTTTTTATAAATGATGATTGTTTTTATAAAAAAAGGTTCAATGATGAAATGTTTTTTTCAACTACTTTTTAATAAATTAAGTTTTATTATTGCCAAACAATATTTTGGTTTGTGGGAATTCGGTTTCGAATCGAACCGAAAACCCGACGGTTTTCGGGCACAGTTTCAGGTTTCCATTTTCCTAACATTTCACATGAAAACCTTAACGGCCCTTGTACCGTCAGTATTTTTTCAGGTTCAAAAATTTTGAACCCCGTTTTTCGGTTTTCGTCTACAGTTACGGTTTCGATTCCTGTTAGAACCGAACCGTTGGGCCCCATGCCCTACCTTAATATATATTGTATTTATGGGAATATAAGCAATAAGTAAGTGCATTTTTTTATGCCTTTCCATAACCACTTTGTTTAAGACGGATTATTCCATTTAATTCCCCTCATCTTTGCTTTTTTTTCTCCTCATTAATACCTTATCATTTTCCTTTATTGCTTTTTGACATACAATGTAAAAGGCTAATACAAAAGGTTTGCTTGTTTTATAAATCCTTAAAGAAACAAATGGTGTTAATTCAAAAAGAAAGTATGTGGTTAAAAAATATAAAATTTTTTGGTTTAGAAGCCCCCAATTAACTTTGGAGCCCACGATTAAATTTAAATCAAAGGCTATGAATTTAAAGATTAATTTTTTTTAATTCGATCATAATTTATTTCCCATACTTTATTTTTGATTTAAATAAAATTAAAAAATAAAACAAAAATTTTTTTTATTGGAATTTTTATAGTTTAGATTAAAACATTTTTCCCTCCAACCTAATTGAGCACATTGTTTCCCTTCAATGAGCCTGATGCAATTCCCCCAAACTTTATGGTGTTTTATGGAAATCGCAATACAAGAGGTTAAGGAGTTTGGAGAAAAGGTACCATCAATTTGATGTGAGAACAATTATAAGGAAGCTGGGTGGCGGAGTTTTTCATCCAGCCTATGAAAAGTAAGAAAAACATACTAAAAAGATAACCAATATTGAAATTGAAAAAACAATTAAAAAACCAAAATTGTAACTGCCACGAAACTGGAATCTAAAGTTTATTTCCAAAACAAAAAACCAAATTTTGAAATTATTCAACAAACAGAATTATAAGAGAAGAAATAACCAAAATAATTGTTGAAAGAGATATAATGGCCTCTGGTGGGTGGGGAGGGTTTTGGGAGGGGGCCCGCTGAAGCAAAGATTGAAGAATAGTCCTGAAAAGTTGAACCCTGCATCGTGTTCAAGGAGAGAATTCGATGCTTGCCCCCCCCGCCCCCCCCCTGGCCTTTGAATCCAAAGTTGACTGGAAACGATTCAGTGGATTCATGGACCTCCACGCCAGTAAAGTCCGAAGGTGTCCGAACACATCTTGCGAGGCGGAAGGCAATTTCCCGAGCAAGCACCTCAATCATTAAGACCATGGTTGGAAGTGCCCCTGAAATGAAAGGTCCAACTCCCAAGAAGTACCCTAACAACCAAAACTAAAAACCAGAGTATAAGGAAGGCTGGCTTTATCCTCCCTCTATTATTAGCTTACTGCAGGTGTTTTGTCCCATCATCGAATTTTTTTTTTCTACTGGGGGCCTCCTATTATGCGGTTAATGAAATCCTCCCAAAACTTTTTCTCCCACAAGCTTCATGTTGAGATGAGAATTTCAATTGTCTAGGTTTAGTCCCCTCTATGCCTTCGAAAGACTTTTTTGTCATAAATGGGGCCCCTAGCCGGAAATTCCACACCTCTTAAGTAGGTAGCGGATCCGAGGTGAGAACCAAACACTACCCAATCAATGATTTCGCTCCCTTGTTCTTGCCCGTGGCAACTCGAGCCCCATTTTTTGGCATAGGCCAATTAAACCCCACATTCGAGCAAAGACTCCCGTGGTTTTAAATGCCCATAAAAAATAGGTTCCATTTCGTCCCTAAAAAACCCCGTCACTCTCACTTCTACCAAAAAATCGGCAACCTAAATTCGAAAATTTATGTAGTATACCATACTCAAAAGTTAGGGCCTTTTCAATTTCGATGCCTTTAAGAAGACCTAGGATTATAATGTGGTTCTTTCAACATTGTTCAAATTTCAATGCCACCATTATCGGAAAATCCAAAAAGAATCCTTTTGCGGGATTTGTGTAAAGTCGTCATTTTCGGTGGGGATAACCGAATAAAATGTGACTACTTCCAAATTTTATAATCGTCAGTTAAAAATCTTTCTTCCAGTAAAATCCTTTAATCAAATGAAATCCCGAATATAACCAGTTTGGGGAAATTCTTAATAGTGGAGGAAGTAATGACTTTAAAAAAAATTTCCAAAGTTAAAATGGGGCATTCCATAGGATCCTTTCAATCTCAAAAATAAAAGTTTTCCCCTCCACCCACACGCCTTAAAAGGTTCAGCACACAGCAATCCTTAAGTCCAAAACTATTTGAATAATGCCATCAACGCATCCTTTAATAAATATGCTGTTTCGACCAAAAGAAGGGGCGATGAATGAAGTTTTATGCTACCTTTTCCAGTTTGCTTCGGGAGAACTTTCGGCCTTCAAATGGAGGAAGTGGTGGACCTTGTTCAGATATGGGTGGGAGATATGTTGGTTGGAAGAGCGAGGAGGAGCGGCGTCCAGCCCTTTGCCCTACAGATGAAGCAGATCTTGCTACGTGTTATACCTGAGAGCATGATTTTATGAAGAATTAATTTGAAAAAAAAATTGAGGTTTTTTATGCCTGTTTTTTGGGGAAGGAAACCGAGAGGAAAATGAGAGGGAGGAGAAAAAGAAAATTTGCAGCTGGCGGCTTAGGGCGTTACGAAAGTGGGAAATAGAGGCAGTTACAGGGCCATTGGCTTTTTTTTAATAGAATATCACACATGATTTTACGACCAATGGGTTCCAAGCACGGTTCTTGGACCCCCTGCTCGCCTTTTCCTGGATTTAGGATTGATTAAGCAGCGCATGCGGGCCTATGGCACGGGCCGTGCCGCGAAATGGCACGGGCTTAGGCCCAATGGCAACCTGGAGGTTTGATAAGCGGGCAACGGGCATGTACCCTCTTGACATGAGCCTATGGGCGGGTGGGCGCGTCCTTTTATTACTGGATTTTAAAACTTTAACTTTACCCCTGGCATGGGGCGTGCGGCGCGGCACGGCCTGGAGGGCGGTGCGGGCGCAGCAGGCTGAGGGCGTGGCAAGCCTCCTTGGGAAGTCCCTAGTGAATAACGGGCAATGGCCGTGCAAAAGAAATGGGCAACGGTTATTCAGGGAAGTGCCCGCGCGGTTCCTTCCTAAGCACAGGACCCGTGCGCCGAGTTAAACACCGGGGGGCCTTTTTTGAAGTTGTGTGCCAATCCCCCTCTGGAAAGTCCAGGTGACGATAGGCCCCAACGGAGCAGTGCCGTAGATGGGCACGCCCTTGGGGCATGCCCGCCGCAATTTTTTCCTGCAACATTTGACAAAATTACTTTACCTTTGCACGGGCGGTTGCCAAAGATTTTGCAGTGGGCCCGTTGCCTATGTTGGGCACGGGCCGTGCCCTTTTACATGGCAACAGTTCAAGGGTGGTTGGCTTTACCTCTTGTTTTCTCCTGTTTCAAAAAATTTCTTCCTATTGAAATATGGTCCAATGCTTAAGTGATATGGCCGGGCCCGTTGCTGCATGTTGAACCTCTTTATTTTATTCCCTTTATAAATTGAATAAAAACAAAACAACAAGCAAAATAAAAACAATCAAAATGAAAAATGGGTTTGTCCTACAATAAGCACTTTTCGTTTTAAACGTCCGTTAAGTTTCGACGTTACCGAACCTTGATTCAAAAGTTTAATTCAAGACCTTAAATAGCGGTTTTTTTTTAACGGGAATCAAACATTTCCACTTGGTAAACCTTTAAACGGTGGAGTCAATTAACCCTTGAAACTTCGGTCATCGTCCATTTTCTTTTAATTCTGCTCCATGCGGGATGAAATTTTCTTTAAATCGTGAAAATGGGTTCCGAACTCAATCTTGAGCGGAGTTTTTTCCTGGAAAAAGAGGCCGGAGTCCCTAGAGTTTTGTAAAGTAATAGCCGTTGGCCTAGACCCTTAGATTTCCGCAGAAATGATATACGCCTTATTCATGCCACTTGTTTTTTTGTGCCGCTCTTTAATAAGACTTTTATGTGGGCATTTATTTTCATGAAGCGTGGAGGCCCTCAAATTTTCTTCAAGCTGCCCATTCAAATAGTTTTTAATCTGAAGCGCACGCACTCTTTTCATCCATCATGTTTAATTGAAGCAGCCTCTTCTGACCAACTCCCTTAGTATCAAAGTTAAGGAATTTGATTGCCCAATATGCCTTGTGCTCAAGCTCGATAGGGAGGTGACAAGCCTTACCGTATACCGTTCGATATGGTGACATGTCAATTGGTGTTTTGAATGCAGTTCTGTAAGCCCAAAGAGCATCATCAAGCTTTTTGGACCAGTCCTTCCTTGATTGGCCAACTGTTGTCTCCAAAATTTTTTTGATTTCCCGGTTCATGACTTCTACTTGTCCGCTCATTTGAGGGTGATACGGGGTACCTATACGATGTGTAACACCATATCTGGAAAGTAGGGAGTCAAGATACTTGTTACAGAAATGTTTACCCCCATCTGTGATTACTGCTCTTGGAGTACCATGTCATGTGAAAATATATTTCTTGATGAAGCTTATCACACTTTTGGCATCATTATTGGGAAGGGCAACAACTTCTGCCCATTTTGACACATAGTCCACTGCCACTAGGATGTATTGGTTTGAGTAGAGTATGATGATGGAAAAGGTCCCATGAAGTCCAGACCCCAAAACATCGAAGATTTTGACTTCAAGAATGCTATGTAAGGGCATCTCATGTCTCTTCGAAATGTTACCTAACCTTTGACAGCGATCACAAAGACGAACATAGTTAAAAGCATCTTTAAAAATATTAGGCCAATACAAACCGCTTTCCAATACACACGCTGCTGTCTTGTTTGCTCCAGAATGCCCTCCACATTCATTGAATGACAGAATTTAAGGACACTTTCCATTTCACTTTCTGGTATACACCGCCGGAATAGTTGATCACTATAATATTTGAACAAAAAGGGCTCCTCCCAATAGTATCCTCCCAATAGTATATTTTGATATCATGGAAGAATTTTGTTCCTTTTGTTTGATGAAGAAAAAGTTGGAGGCAGTGATTGTGCAATAAGACAAATAAGATAGTTAACTATATCAGCATACCAGGGGGCTTGAGTATTTACCATTAGCAAAAGTTGCTCATGGGGAAAGCTTTCATTGATTTATAGCTGGGTTGTATCTTCTTCCCCTAACTCTAGCCTGGAAAGGTGGTCAGCCACAAGATTCTCGGTTCCCTTTTTGTCGCGAATTTCCAGGTCAAATTCCTACAATAAGAGAACCCAATGAATTAGTCTCGATTTTGCATCTTTCTTTTCTAGCAAATATTTGATAGTTGAGTGGTCTGTGTAGACTATTGTTTTGGCTCCAATTAAATAGGCCCTGAATTTGTCAAAAGCAAAAACAATAGCTAACAATTCTTTTTCAGTATAACAATTCTTTTTCAGTAGTTGCATAATTCAATGTGCATCATTCAGTGTGCGACTAGCATAATAGATAACATGCAACTTCTTGTCCTTTCGTTGCCTAAGAACGGCTTCCACAGCATGGAATCACTACCATCACACATAAGTTCCAAAGGAAGAGGTCCAATTTGGTGTAGTGATGATAGGTGTTGAGATCAACTTCCCGCTCTTTAAACACTGTTAGAAAGAGCAATCTAAACGCTTCTTGTCAAAATTGAAAGGAAACATCTTTAACTAATAAATTGCAAAGAGCGTTTTGTGATTTTTCGGGAGTCTTTGATAAAGCCTCTATAGAACCGCTGGCATGACGCAAAGAAACTCCTTATCCCTTTCAACTGAGTTAGGAAGGAGGAAGTTTTCGAATTAGCCGTCGTATTTGGGCTTGTCTAAGCTTCAATTCCTTTTTTGAGAGATTTTATGCGCCTAACGACAATACCTTCACTAAACCAAAAGTGACAATTATTTCGCCAATTCAAAAATAAGGTTAGTGCCTCACAGTCGTTGCATTACTTAAAGATAAATTATGAAGACATGGCATCGAAAGAAGAACCAAGATATTAGAAAAATCATGGCCATAAAGTACTTAATAGATTTCCAACCCTATCAGAAATATGGACACATGGCATCTTTGGAAGGTTGGCAGGAGGTCATGTGCAGTAGTCCAAAAAGGCATTCTCCTATAGGCGCAAAAAGTGTCATAAGGACAAGTGAAAGTAGTTTTTCTTTAAATGCCCTAGAGCAAAGTTATTTGAAAGTAATCCTGAAATACCGCCATCAAGAAACAATCAGAAAGAATAACCTTGCTAAGTCTTTAAAGCATTTTGATCAATAAGGGTAGAGGAACAGTGGTCTGAAAGTGGTCTTTACGTGTTGCTTTGTTCAATTTTCTGTAATCTATGCACACACGCCAACCTGTGACTGTTCTAGTGGGAATTAATTCGTTATTTTCATTAAAGATAACAGTCATACCTCCCTTCTTTGGCACAACTTGGACAGGACTTACGCAACTACTATCGGAGATTGGATAGATAATGCCAGCATCCAGAAGTTTTATGATTTCAGCCTTTACTACCTGCTTCATGTTTGGATTCAATCGTCTTTGATGCTCGATTGAAGGCTTCTAGTCTTCTTCCATCAGGATTTTATGCATGCATACACTCGAGCTTATCCCCTATAGATCAGAAATTGACCATCCTATTGCTTTCTTGTGCTTTCGAAGAACCGAAGAACCTACAAACAACGCCTTCCTCTTGATCAAGCGTTTAAGTGAGAAGGAAATAATAATGAGGAAAAGAGTTATTGCTCCACCTAGAAAGCATGGCTTGCAGAATGAGGATGGAAGTTGCTTCAGGTTCTTATGTTGGGCTGGTGTAATCTTCTTTTCTTTCCTTTTCTTCTGTATTATATTATTATCTACGCAGTAGAAAGGTTTCTTTACACCATGTATCAAATTACATCTATTCTAGAAGCCAATCATCGCAGTCCATAGGGAAGTTTACAAGATTTTAACACACTCGAAAACCAACTTCGCTCTTGACCTATCTCAAATTGTCAGGTTTCGCCACATGTACAGAATTAGAGCTCTTGCAGTTGTAAGAAAAGGGTCTTTCCAAGGATGCAAATGATCGCTTCTCTTTTCCTTCATCAATATAAGGATGGACGAAAATCAACTGGAAAAAATGAATTTTCCTACCTTGGACTAGGTAAGCGTGCCTTCCGTACGAATTCCTTTGGGTAGTTTGATCCGATCGATCTGAACATGTGGTAGAGACATCCTTAGACATCCTTGTTGGCTTGAGCTCCCCCATACCTAGCATTTTAAAAACTTCATAAGACATCAGATTTATGCTAGCTCCTAAGTCAGCTAAAGCCTTTTCAGAATTTAAATTGCCAATATTACAAGGAATAGAAAAACTCCGTGGATCTTTCAGTTTAGGTGGCAATTTATTTTGAATGATTGCACTGCATTCCTCAGTCAGTTTCACCATTCCTTGGTCATCAATCTTTATTTTCTTGCTCAAGATTTCTTTTAAGAATTTTGCATAGCTGGGCATTTGAGCAAGAGCTTCGGCTGCAAAAGGAATGTTTATTTGAAGCTTTTTGAAGACGTCAAAAAATTTCATGAAGCTTTGGTCATCTTGCGTCTTTTTCAACCTTTGCGGAAATGGAACGGGTGGAATATAGGGTTTTACTTCTTCCTTTTCCACCAGATCGATGATAGGTGCCTTTTTCTCCTCTTCCTTCTCCTTCTCTTTTCTGGGTTTGTCCTCCAACTCTCTACCACTCCTCAAGGTGATGGCTTGTACTTCAAAAACTCCTCAAGGTGATGGCTTTGTACTGTGCTCTTTAGGATTTTTCCGCGTCACTGGGTTTGTCCTCCAACTCTCTACCACTCCTCAAGGTGATGGCTTGTACTTGCTCTTTAGGATTTTTCTCAGTGTTACTGGGTAACGTACCTTGAGGTCTAGCTACCATCATGTTTGCAAACTGTCCCATTTAGATCTCTAGATTTCTTATCGCAGCTTGTTGGATTTTGTTATGTTCTCTTGTTTCATTCATGAAATCCATGTGCGATTTTGAAAGGGCAGTGAGGAGATCATCATGAGACTTATTCTCAGGAGGCAATAAACCTGGTAGTGCATTTAAAGTGTTGTTAGAATTACCATATGAAAGATTCGATTGATTTCTCAACCTGTTATCGTAAGGGTTCGAATATGGGTAATTCCTCCTCTGTTGGTTCATCACATAGTTTAGTTGCTCCAAAGTTTGTGGATTTGCAGAATCTAACATGCATTCTCTAACTCCATGCTGTTTGTTGCATTTGTAACAAGTTTGCATGATGGAATTCACAGATTTAGTGGTTAGCAAATCGAGCTTCCTTACCATGTTGTCAGCCTTCGCGTTGAGTGCAGTGATGGCATCAATTTCATAAATCCCAGCAGTTTTCCTTCTTTCAGAAACGCTTTGATAATGGCTATTGCTTGCCATTTCTTCTATTAAATCATATGCCTCATCTATTTCCTTTCTTTCGAAAGAACCTCCTGTAGCTACATCAAGAGTAATTTTAATGTTAGGTGACAAAGAATTATAGAAAGTTTGAACTTGTAACCACTTAGGTAAACTATGGTGGGGACATTTTCTCAATAAGTCCTTAAATCTTTCCACTTGTAACCACTTAGGTAAACTATGGTGGGGACATTTTCTCAATAAGTCCTTAAATCTTTCCCAAGCTTCATATAAGCTTTCTTGATCATGATGAGCTAAGGTCATGATCTCATTTCTTAATTTGGTGGTTTTAGAAGATGGAAAGAATTTGGCCAAAAATTTCTGGGCTAACTCTTCCCAAGTTGTAAAACTTCCAGTGGGACAAGATTGTAACCATTATCGTGCTTTGTCTCTTAAAGTAAAAGGAAAGAGTCTTAATTTAATGGCATCTTCAGAAACACCATTTTGTTTAAAAGTGTCACAAATCTCCAAGAAATTTATGATGTGAGCATTTGGATCTTCACTAGGGAGTCCTCCATATTGAATAGATGTGGAAAGCATTGGGATAATTGCTGGTTTGATTTCGAAATTATTTGCTTCCACTCTTGGCCTAGTGATGCTGGAGGTAGCTCCATTGAGAGAGGGCGTGATGTAGTCTCGCAAGGTGCGAACATTTTGTTTCGCAAGGTGCGAACATTTTGTTATTGTCCGATCTGAGGATTTGCAGCAAGAGGTATGTTCGGAAGTTGAGGATTAATGTCGTCCATGTCTGATTGTTGTTCGGATCTATTTTCTTGTGCTCTCCTTGCTGCGTTGTTTCTTCTGCAGGTTTTCTCAATTTCTGGATCAAAGATTAGAGGTTCTGTTCTTCTAGATCTTCTTTGCATAAAACCAGAGATGGTCTAGAAAAATTAAATGAATAAAGACAAATGAATAAGTAAATGTCTAAATTAATAACAAGATAATTCGTATTGATATTAGTTTTGCCAATCCCGGGCAACGACGCCAAAAACTTGACAGCTTAATTCGCAAGTGTACAAATTGCTACAAGTAATATATGATGAGAGAGATATTGTTCCCACGAGGATTGCATTCCAAGTACCAAAATTATGTTATCTCGTTATTATTTAAACGATGATTAAGAAAATTATTGTATAAATGTAAATTAAACAAGAGTCAAGTAAACAAAAATTGATTGAAAGAAATCAAGGAAGTAAAGCTACTAGGGGTTTTGATTTCACTTAATCCTATCCAATTTATTTTTTATTTCAAATTAGTTCATTGATCAATTTTAAATTATTCAAGTAGGGGAAACAAGCTCCTGAATTCACTAACAAGCTCTTCCGATGTAATTGCTAGCTATTTAATTCCCATTTTAAATTACCTATCTCCAATAGCCGGCAAATCAAATATGAATTAAATCATGTAGGTGTATGTAGGTTGTGTTGTGAATCTAATTTAAGGTTTGAATAAAGTCATGAAAAAAAGACCCCCATGAGTCAACCATATAGCTTCCGCGCATCAATTTTAATTCTGCATGTTGTTTTTTTGTGTTAACCTTTTAATATCAAAGATCCTTCTGTCCGATAGTGATCAATTGGAAATAGAATCAATCGTAGGGGAAATGGTCTGCTAGAAGCATGAAGGTTCACTTATAAGTCATAACGTGAATAAGGAGAATAGAATCTTAATTGCATAGAATTTGGAAAGGAGGAGATTAAGCTTACATCAAACCCCAGGTGATAAAGAATTAGTTCAACAAGTACTGTAAATAAAACTCAACAATACTGATAAATAATCCATAATCATAGAATAAGATAATGAAAGAAATAAACAAGATTAAGAGTTTAGAAATAAGAACTAGAGAGGGATTGCTTGGATGGCTTCCTTGAACTTTGCACAACTCTTGAGAGCCTAACTTCTAAAGAGAAAACAAAACTATATACAAGCTATGAGACATGGGAGAAGAGATGTAGAATATGGGATGAGATGGATACCTTTGGAAGGCTCTTTCCCTTATTTATATAGACTTCTTGAGGGAACAAGCCTTATGCTTTAATGAGTAAAGTCCAACTTTTGTGAAGTGGAAAAGTTCTAAATCAAGCCATAAATTGCTCTCAATTATGGCCAATAATGGCTTTCCAAATGCCATATTGGTTTGATACTTGACTAGCAGTGAAGAGAGTATCCAAAGTATCCGTCTGTCCAAGATTTGCTCCATAATTTGGTGGAAGTTGGTTGGCAACTTTTGACTAAATTTTAGTTTTCTTGATTGGCACGGGCGTGCTGCCTGGCATGGTCTAGGGCGTGCCAGGCTCTGGAGGTTTGGGGCTCTCAGCACGGGCCGTGCGGTTCCGCACGGTCTAGGGGAGTTCCAGGGCACGGCCGTGCGTACTGGCACGGCTACGGGTGTGCACTCTTCTGGAAGTGTGGAAGTTGTGTAGCACTGGCGTGCTTCAGCTGCACGGGCCAAGTTTCTATCTCCAGTGTGCGCACAGGCGTGCTCTTTGGCACGGCTTGGGGCGTGCATCTCTCTGGAAGTCCGAGGCATGTTTGAGGCACGGGCGTGGCCTTTAGCGATGGCTGGAGCTGCCAACTTATGTTTTGCCTTATTTTTTGTCTTGTTTCTTGCAAAATCCTACACTTTTCCTCCAAACAAGTTGAGTTGTTGTTTCAAGGAAGCTTTTCAGTCAAAACATTAACAAGTATTTTTCAATAAAACAACTAATTAGATAAATTAAAAATGCTAGAAATCTTGAAGTAAAATATTATAAAATAAAAACACTAATAAACAATTAATACTATCGACAATTCCCAAACTTAAATTATTTGATTGTCCTCAGCATAAAATCCCTGAAATTAAGTATGGAAATAATTATTCACGAATTTTAATAAATATCCAAAATTATTAACATAATAATAAATTATAGGTTTCCCTATGTCAAAATTAATTTTTCTAACCAAAATTTTAATTTTAATAAAACAGTATTCTTTTTATAAACATAAGTTAAGCAAGATTTTTGTCTCCTTCTTTTGGAATAGTAGTAAATTTAGCACAACATATAATGATTTCTCACCTCTCAAGGTATTATTAGGTTTTTTAGGTAACCTATTTCTATTACACAAAGTGGTTGCATTTTATGCTCCATACCACTTCTCACCTTTTGCTTCTTTTGTAGTTGCATTTTATGCTCCATACTACTTGTAGATATGTATTTATGGGAATATAAGCACGGCCTGGGGCGTACATCTCTCTGGAAGTCTGAGGCATTTGAGGCACGGGCGTGCGCCTTAGCTTGGGCTGGGGCGTGCGCCTTTGACTCTTGCTTTGTTTTGCCTTGCAATTGGCACAGCCGTGCGCCTTAGCATGGGCTGGAGCGTGCCAATTATGTTTTGCCTTATTTTTGTCTTTTTCTTGCAAAATCCTACACTTTTCCTCAAAAAAATAAGTGAGTTGTGTTTCAAGGAAGCTTTTCAGTCAAAACATAACAATATTTCATAAAAACTAATTTAGATAAATTAAAAATGCTAGAAATCTTAGTAAATATTATAATAAAAACACTATAAAAATTAATACTATCATGTACCCTCTATACATTTGAGTGGGTTAAGTCAAAATCAGCGAGAGTACCATCTAGTACTCTTACCAACAATAAAATTTGTCCAATGGAATTTTATTTTATCTTGCAGCAAAATATAAGTTCAAGACGCTCTCGTTTTTCACAAAATTTATACTTTTCTTTTAAATTTTATTTTATTTTATTTTATTATAATTTGATTGGGTGAAATTATTAAATAATTATAAAATCATCTTTATACTTTATCTACAACAAAACAATATATTAAATTTTAAATGCATAAATCTACACATTATCTATGACAAAACAATATATCTATACATATATATAATCTTAAAGCATAAAATTTTTTTGTAAATGTTGACTTGACATCTTCTGGTTTTAAAATTCCTCTTTTTCTTTTTTTCTTTTACAAATTTTCTAGACTTTTAATTTATTTTTGACAAAAAAACTGTAATTATTTGTCAATTAAAAATAATATAAGTTACATTATTATCACTAATAATTTATTTTAAAAAAATCAAATTCTAAATCACTAATAATTATTTGTGTCTTCTGAAAATATCATCCAAAAATCTAAAAATATTTTCTATTTTTTACAAATTTATAAGTTGTAGCTAACTATTTATATAGCTCTAGTGTTCTCTATCTTTCGAACATCAAACCAATCAGTTTAATTCAACGATTGTTTTTTATTTTTTAGTTTCTTTGTTTATCTTTTTATCTTGATATATTTATATTTCTTTATATTCAATTAAATTTTGCTATTTTTATTTTTCAAATTATGAACTACAGAATAATTTTTTCTTCATCAAAGGCAACATTTTCTCTTTTTTTTTTACTATATAATTCTTTCATTCTCTTCCATATCTTCGTTTATAATTCACTCTTTCTATTTCTATTGGTTAATTTATTTTTTATTTGATTTTTCAT